TTTGTCAGAGAAAATAGGATCTTTTAAATCAAGATAACTTTTTAAGATTATATTCACTGTCGCCATTATCATAGCAATGTCCATATGTGTGCAATGACCAGATCATTAATTTCTGTGATATTGATGTACTTAGCTATTAGTACAGATGAAGGCATTTAAGACACTTTTCCCTCTGTGAGACTGTGGAATTATGAATGTCCATTGTGCAAAAATTAAAAAGTAGAAAAAAGCATAAAAAGAAAACATGGTAAATATTTTCAGCTGTACCATCCAGAGATAACCATGATTTATTAATTTTGCTTGTTTACTTCTAGTCTTTTTTTTTTTTCTTGCATACTTTTAGGTAATTGAGAAATACTTAAAGTAAGTTACTATGTAAATATGCTTTCAATCTCTTGCCTTTATTCAAGACAGAATCCAGATGAGCAGTTAAAACTATTTTGTCAAAATGTGGCAAAAGCAGGATTATTGAAATTGAAAGACAGAGTTGCTTTTCATAAATTAATAGGTAAAAGAAAAAAATTATTTAGTTTTATTTTGGAGGCAGAAGGTTTAATTCTAATCATAAATTACATTAATGGTTATGAGGTAGAGAATCATAGAAACTTTAGGCAGGAGCTTAGAAATGTCTAGTGAATTGCTTTTCCAGTGCAGGAATTGATTTTACAACATTCCTGACAGTTGGTAAGCCTTTTCATAAACACTTGCAATGATAAGGAGTTTACTTAGTTTCTGAGGCAACTTGTTCTTTTGTTTGATAGCTCTAATTATTATAAGGATGTTCTTCTCAGTATTGTGCTAAATATTGTAATTTTCACACATTCTTATTTTTTTCCTTTAGAAGTATTTTTATTTATTTATTTATTTATTTATTTTTAAGATTTTATTTATTTATTTGACAGACAGAGATCACAAGTAGGCAGAGAGGCAGGCAGAGAGAGAAGAGGAAGCAGTCTCCCTGCTGAGCGGAGAGCCCGATGCGGGGCTTGATCCCAGGACCCGGGGATCATGACCTGAGTCGAAGGCAGAGGCTTTAACCCACTGAGCCACCCAGGCGCCCCTATTTTTATTTTTTTAAAGATTTATTTACTTACTTGAGAGAGCAGGCGAGCTGGAGTGCACATGTATGCCATTGGGAGCACAGCAGGGAGGGGCAGAGGAGAGGGAAAAGCAGACTCCCTGCTGGGCAGGGAGCCCTCTGCAGGGCTGATCTCAGGACCCTGAGATTGTGACCTACGCCAAAGGCAGATGCTTAACTGACTGAGCCACCTAGTTGTCCCTGAAAAGTTTTTGTTTTTACTTCCATAAGACACCTCCTTAAATATTTAGCTTTAGTGATTTAATATTTTCTGCTGTACATGCCTTTTTCATCTATTCACTCCCTTTTCAGTGTGTGATTTGACTCAATAGACAGGCATGGGCTCTCTTTCGATAAGCATACTGTTAGTTAAAGTCCATTTTTTTTTTTTTTTTTGTAGGCCTTTTAGCGTTTATGCTAGATGTTGGCAGGAACCCAGTGGTCAAAAATGAAATGCCTAGGTTTTGACCCTCCCATCCCTCCAACACTGAATAGTTGACAAGCTAGAGGTCCCTGCTTTGTACTTGTAAAGTTGATTTAAAGTAAACAATCTCAGATTATAGTGGCTTACTTAAGTCTGTGTTTCATTTTATTGTTCTAGTCTTCAAGATCTTTGGATTTTATTTTTATAACCCGATATGTTAAATATTCCTTTTATCCTTGTATATTCTGTATTAACAGCCTTTGAGTATTATTTTAACCATCTGTGAATTTACCAATTTCTTTTTATGGAGGTCGTATTTTTTTCATCTGCTTAGTAAATTCATAAAATAAGAAAGGTTAATTTGGTTGTAAATTTTACAGGCTAGGAGTTTGAATGGGTTTTTGGGATCTTATCTCATTTTGGACGTTATATATATTTTGTGCCTGAAACACATGTGGTAAGGTGTCACTTCCCTGCCCAGGTATTATTTAAGATTTCAAAAGTGTTTTTCTGGGCTGCACAAATGCTCTCTGGATAGAGGTTGTACTTGATTTATTTCCTTCCTTGTCCATTGAACTATGATTTTTTCCCAGGGTTCTTTCTCTGCTGCTTCTTCATGGATAAATAGGGAAGAACTAAAACTTACTATCATGGATTTGGGGTTGGGTGTGGCATTGTGGTTCTGATAACTGTATTTTCATCTTCTTTAATCCTGAACTTCCCACTTCTGGGAGTTCTTCCGGTTGTTAGAAGTATTGTTTTTTCTCAAGACAAAATGTGGGACTTGTAATAGATAGCATAGTAATCAGTTATCTTGAGCAGATCGTCACAGGATTGGAAATCAGAACCATATTTAAAATTTATTTATTAACTTAAAACTATAATCCATATTCATTGTTGAATAAATAGAAAGTAAATGTTAACAAAAATATAAAATTATATATTACTCTATTATTTAGAGGTTGCTAATTGTAGACATCTGTATTCTAACAGATTTTATATGTAGTATATTTTAATAGTTTAATGGTTTCATCCTATACATGCTACTCTATAACCTGCTTTTCTCACTAATGACAGTTTTGAACTTCATAAGGAATATATTTTAACAGGTTTTATATGTGTATGTTATCAGTACTTAAATGTTTCACACTCTTTATGCTATTCTATATAGCATGCCTTTTTAATTTTTAATAATGGTTTTTGAAGAAATATCTGATCACAATGAAAATAGAGCTCTAGCATTGTTTTCCTTAGAGTACAGGTATGCTCTGATTTATTTACCTAATCACCTGCTGTTGGAAGCCAAAGTTTCTTTTATTTTGTGTTACAGGTAACATTATGATAAATAGTTATTCATCTAGTCCTTATTCACTTGTCTGTTTCTTTAGGATAAATTCCTATAACTAAAACTTCCGTTGCAATGATAAATATACCTAACGGCTTTTGACATGTTGACAAATGGCCATTCAGAAAAATTGCAAGAGTATGCATTTTTCTCTCCCTTCCTTTAATCTCCCTTCCTAGCTGTATTTGATAATCTACCATGATGTGAAACCCAACTTACTGGTCTGTTTCTAGACTTCATCGTTGTGGTTTTGTTCATACTGTCTTTTCTTGGAATGGCTTTCCTCTCCATGCATTGGTTAATTTTACTTGTTTTTTAGACTGTAAGGTTGGGAAATTTATAGAACTTTGTTATGCCATGACCATTGCTTGATCAAGGATGCTCTTTTTATAGGGAGTTTGTATTTGAAATTATGAAGTAATCCTAGCCTGGGTTATAGATTTTTTCCCCCCCAAATTTGTCTTTTCTCTGAGGATTGGGAGAACAGTTTTACAAATGGCTTATAGCTAGATCTCACACTTTAGAACCCTCTGGACCCTGTGTCATGATTTTATATTCTTGTGTCTTATTTTTGTCTCTTAAGCCTCCAAATGTCATTTTCGCAAGTTACTCCAAGAGAAAGTGAAGGTGGTAGAAGAGGAGAGTGTAGTTTGACTGTCAGTACTGCTGCCAGGTGGTAGGTGGTCAGAGAGTACTGGCAAAGGTGGGGATTCATAGAGAGGGCATACGGAAGTGCTGGGTAAATGCTAATTGACAGAGCTAAATGGTGTCTTTGGAAAATCAAACCCCTGAGGATGGATGCTAGGTTTGCCAGAAAACTGAAGTTAAGGCTGTGGTGTGTAGGCCGAGAAAGCCATACTAGTTGATAAAACAGCAGCATGAAGCCAAGACTACTTTTCTGCTTTGGAGATTTGGTGGGCTGTAATTGAGAAAGTACCTGGGAATTTGTACCAGAGTTCTAACTGCCACCACCAGCACAACACCATTGTTAGTACAGCAAACTACCACATGTCTTTATAAGATCATTTGGCTCATATATGTTGGAAAATAGGAAAAAGATGTCAGTATTATATGGAGGTTTGGGATTCCTATGCAGTCTTTCCTAGTTCAGGAGAACTAGGATAATGGGGTGTAGAATCCTATCCTTTAGCTGGAGGGGAAAAAACGTGAATTCTGCTGCGAAGGAACCTTTTCAGCAACATTTAAAGAAATTTAGAAATGAGCACTTGCATCCAGGGCTCCCTCCCCAGGAGGCACACTTCTAGCTTCACATTGGTTGCAGAAGAGGCAGGCTGTTGCTTCCTCTGCTCCTTTTCCCTCTGTGCTTTCTTAGCTGGCTAGGTTCCCGTTCTGTTGTTGTGATGCTGTGCTAACATCCCCTGAGACAGCCTCAAACCACTGCAAGATGTTGGTGTGGGCATCCAAATGATATCCCCAGAGACGGATTATTGCTTTTGTTACTTCTCTGGTTACAAACTTGAATAGGTTGTGAGTGGTCTGCCCACCTTTTTTTCTCCATAGGCTTTGTTATTTTTCATGTGAGTTTTTTTCAGGAATGAATATATCACATATAAGCAGAAATGCTTGTATTTCCTTCTTGGATTTTTTTCCCTAAGTATCTTAAATTTTTTTTTTTAAACTGTCAAGTTTAGCTTTTAATGTCCTATATTTATTTTTCAGAATTTGATTTTTTGAACTCATTTTTTTCTCTCAGATCCTTCAAAGCCTTTTCTCTATTCATTGTTTTAGCCCTCTTCCCTTGCTCTCCTTTCTTCCTATGCTAATCTGCTTCCCTCCTCCTCTTTATATTCTTTGTGCATTTGATGTTACATTTATAAGATTAGGAAAGTTTTTTTAATAGGAAATTTTTTATTTTGACATTTTCGGGTTTTATAAGTCTTTCATTAAAAGCACAGATTTAATTTAAGAGCTCTTGTATTTTAATACTAAGGATTTTCATTATATATTATGCTAATTTTAAAATAAAAAATTTTATTACGGTATATACATAAAAGTGAAATGTGGTGATTAATACTATGTAAGCATGCCTGTGTTACATGTTTAACGTAATTTATAAGCATATTTCTACTTTATGTGAAATGTATACATTCATGAATAGGACTGTATATGATGCTAATTTTGTTTTCCTCCAGGAGGATCAGGATGGGAGTCAAGGTCTGGGCAAGAGAAAGAGGGTCAAACTAAGCAGTAGCACCAAAGGTATTTATATTTAATTTTTTACTTGTGTAAAAAGCTAAAAATGAAAAACAAGAAACAGACTTTTTACTACAGACACAAACTGATAGTTAACAGAGGGGAGGTAGGTGGGAGGATGGGTTAAACAGGTGATGGGGGATTAAGGAGTGCGATTGTTGTGATGAGTACCAGGTGGTGTATGGAAGTTTTGAATCACTCTGTTGTATACCTGAAACTAATGTGACACTGTATGTTAATTAACTGGAATTTAAATGAAAACTTAAAAAAAAAGATAAAAATGTTTAATCATTAAGAACACTTGGTGAGCTAGCCATTTTGAAGGGAGAGTTATGTTCTTACATTTGTCTAATGATGGAGAAAGTATTGTTAGGGGGGTGATTGTGGGGGACCTCAAAAGCAAATGAAACCCTTACTATTGGAATTTTGTTTATTTATTTTTTTTCATAAGATGTGCATTATTGTATTTGAGCTGTTAAAAAAGTGAATCTTTTCAATGATTCTTTGATTTGGATCCAGTGTTTTTGGTATAAAGTTTAGATTGAGTTACGTCTTTTTATAATCTGGGGTATGTAGTTTCTACAGTGAAAAAACATAAGTATGGGAGAGATGGTGAGAGAGAGAGGTGGGAGGTGGGAGAGAATAAAAATGAGTGGCACTTTTTTAAGGGTTCAGTAAGGGCTCAATATATTTGCTCAGAGGAGGAAGTAGGTATGTCTGTAGTAAGGGACTAGATTAGTGATAATAATGAGTAATATTTATTGATCTTTTTGTACATGCTAGACATAGTGCCAGGTATTTCACATAAGTTGGTTCATTTAATTCTTAAAGTCACCATACAAAACAGTAATTATTATTATTATTATTATTGTTATTGCTGTTATTACTATTTTATGAATGAGGAAATGGAGGCATGTTAGAGATCACAACTAATGAGAAATAGATCCTTAATTCAAATACCAGAGCCTAAGCTGTTAAATCACTGTTTTCTTGACCCTTACTAAAAAATTTTCTAGAGTACTTGTTACTCGTTGACAGCCTATGCTCTGGATTTTTGCCATGGATTTCCAGATCTTAACATGGTCTATATCCTGGGATAGTATGGTCTGTCTGTTAGAGAGTCTCCAGAGGTTGAATTATTATTTTGATGAGAAGAAGATAATTATTATTTCTGGTGCTGAGTGTATCTCTTGGAATATTTACAGCTGCTTGGAAAGGTGGAACAAGCAGGCAGTTTCAGTTGAGGCTCATTTTGTAAGTCTGTTCAGAGTTAGTTATGCTGCTGCATTTAACTTGGGGCTCCTAGTGTTGGGGACTGCTCAAGATCCTTCTAGCCAGACTAAGAAGACAGTAAACAGATTAACAGGAGAAAATAAAATTTAATGGTGTATGTATGGGGAATTCATACAGATGTGGAAATTCCCAAAACAGGCAAAATAAAGTATATAGGTGATTCTGAACTAGGGAGAAATGGGTAAGGGTCTGGAACTTCAAAGGGAAGACATGCAAATCACATAAAAATGGGAAAGAGTAAATATTTGATAAATAAATATTTGCTGGGCCTCTTAGAAACAATGGGACACAGGTCTTGCTAGGTTCCTCCCTGTCTACCATACTTAGTTTATATCATAATGTAGTTATCTATGGTGATAGCTCTCTTTCTGGAGCAGGTCCTCTATCTGAATTCTTTTTAGGTTGTTGATGGGGAAGGCAAAGAGGTTTTCCTGAATCTGCTGGATTTTGATTGCTTTTGTTTGATATAGTTGACACACAAAGTTACATTAGTTTCAAGTATACAACTTAGTGATTTGACAAGTTTCTACGTTATGATATGTTCACAAGTGTAGGTAGCTACCATCTGTCCTGTAACATCACTATTGCAGGATCACTAACTGTATTCCTTATGGTCTGCTTTTTATTCCTATGACTTACTGATTCCATAATTGCAGGCTGGTATCTCCCTCTCTCCTTCACTCTTTTTTGGTTATCTCCCCACCTGTTCTGTTCTGGCAACCATCAGTTTGTGCTGTGTATTGATAGGTCTGATTCTGCTCTGTGTGTGTGTGTGTGTGTGTGTGTATGTGTGTATACACATATATATTTACATATATATATTTATATTTTAGATTTCGCTTATGAGTGGAATCATATGGTATTTGTCTTTCTCAGTTTGACTTATTTCACTTAGCATAATATCCTCCTCTAGGTCCATCATGTTGTCTTGTGACAATCCCATCCTTTATTATGGGTGCCTAATGTTCCATTGTGTATATATACCACATTTTCCTTATCCATTTGTCTGTTGATGGAAACTTCCATATCTTGGCCATTGTAAATAATGCTGCAGTAAACATAGGGGTGCATATATCTTTTCAAATTAGTGTTTTGGTTTTCTTCGTTTAAATACCCAGTAGCGGAATTACTGGATGACATGGTATTTCTGTGTTTATTTTTTTGAGGAACCTCCTCATCTTCATACCAAAGGAGTCCATCTTGGGGTGGCCTGCCCTTGGCTCAACCCTAGCAAAGGGCATGAAATTTGATCTGTGGTCCAGGATGCACATGTGTACACATGTTCCCCTTCTTCCTTGCCTAGCAGGGAAATTGTGATGCCTGAAGGAAGTTAGAACTCATATGGTGACCTGGCCTTTTACTTACCAGAGTTGTCTGTGTGTTTACCTGAGTCCTTGACATACATCTGAGTTGAAGTGGACTCTTAGGTACATACTTGAGTTTCAGTTTTAGGGATGTCTAAAAAAAAAAAAAAAATACTTGATATGGTGTGAGAGATCATTGATTTCCTACAGTCTGGTCAAATGTTGGGTGAAGATACTTTCTATGGAGACTTAAAATTGAAGCTTATTTTAGTCCTGATTTTTTTTCATATTTGAGATTAGATTATCTTCTCTTCTTTCCTCCACTGGTGAGAAGTGCTACAGAGATTTAAGACTTGATCAGTTACCATTTTTGCTTTAAGTATGTGCATGGAAGAAATGGCTTTTTGAATTAGTAGAACCTCTGTTTTCAAAAAGTGGTAGTTGTTTTTGAAGATAACAGAAGTCCAAGAATTGGTTTAGTTTTTGTAAGAATTTGGTTCAGTGGTTTGAAAGTGAGCTGAAAATAAAAGATAGTAATAGGCAAGAGGTTGAGGCACTGTGCCACATTCACTGTCTTGTCTCTAAACCTAAATTTTAAGGATGAAGAAACTGAGGCCTATAGGGCTTCAGCTAATGTGGCTGAGATTATTGAGCTCCTGAGTTATGGATCCTGGACTCTGCTGTCTAATGAAAATCTTTATGTTACTCATGCATTTGTACCACATACTGATTGCTCTAAAATCTCTTTTTACAGTTTGGCTTAAGGTAGTTTAGGCATTCTAAAAATCATGACAATTTAAATCCAGATTTTAAAGACAAATATGTCATTATGCATAACTAATGGAAGCATTCTAACCACATCTCCATAGCATAACACAAAGCACATCACTCATGTTTTAAATATCTTGGGGAAAATGACATCACTTATTTTAAGAACAATGACAGTGAAGATACTGTGGTTTTTTTTCTTTGGCGATGAAAAAATGGAATTGTACATAATTGCAGTTATTTTTATTTTAGTAGAAGTTATAGAAGGTTCATTTGGATAATTTATTTTAAAAAATGAATACCTTTTTCTATATATATATATTATATTATATATATATGTGTATATATATTATATATATATATATATATTATATATATATATATATATAAAATAATTATGGTAGCTCCAGGCTTTCATTTGGCAAATGCAGACTTGCAGAGTCATAACTGAGTTCTCAGGTTAATACTACAAGTTTTTTTAATTTTGTAAATATTTTTAGAAACACTTATCTTTGAGATTTAATTAATTTATTTTTTTGGTAGTCTAAAATTTTCAGTCATATTAGTGCTAAATGAATTGTAAGAATTAAACTGACATCAGTAATATGCTCTGGGTTATATTCAAAATTAGAATATAATTTTGTCCACCTGATTCACTTGGGCCCTAATTTTATTTTTTTGGCTTTGACTCTGTCAGTGTGTGCCTTTGAATATATTTTACCTCATTTTTTGCAAGATTTATTTATTTCTATTTTTAAAATAATTGTTGTATCCTGGGAATGATCTAGTTCAGGAGGAAGAGATTTCTGTTTTATCAGTAGAAAATTCCGAGATTTAGAAAATAAAGAATAAATAGTTTCCACTGGGATGTATAGTATAATTATATTTATATATATATATTTTTTGAAGATTTTTATTTGTTTATTTGACAGACAGGGATCACAAGTAGGCAGAGCAGCAGGCAGAGAGAGAGAGAGAGAGGGAAGCAGGCTACCTGCTGAGCAGAGAGCCTGATGTGGGGCTTGATCCTAGGACCCTGGGATCATGACCTGAGCTGAAGACAGAGGCTTTAACCCACTGAGCCACCCAGGCGCCCCTGTATTTATATTTTTATCGCTATTAAATATTGCTTATACCAAAGGCAGACTGAAAGGGAGTTAGGAAATTGGGATATAACTTTTGCCTCTCTGTAGTTAAATTCGTAGTATCTCCAGAATAATGGAGATTCTAAAGATTATTCTAAAAATAATGGGTTATTATTAACAGAAAAATTGGGTTAAAGTTATGTCTAATAATTATTTATTCAAGCCTGTTAAAATCAGAATGTTTTAGGGGCACCTGGGTGGCTCAGTGGGTTAAAGCCTCTGCCTTCGGCTCAGGTCACGATCCCAGGGTACTGGGATCGATCCCCACATCGGGCTCTCTGCTCAGCAGGGAGCCTGCTTCCTCCTCTCTCTCTGCCAGCCTCTCTGCCTACTTGTGATCTCTGTCTGTCAAATAAATAAGATCTTTAAAAAAAAATCAGAATGTTTTAAAGAAGAATCAAGAGAGATATGGCATGCTTATTGATGGCCTGCTTATTGTTACATTTTTTTAAAAAAGATTTTATTTATTTTAGAGAGAGAGTGTGTGAGTGCAAGAAGGGGAAGGAGCAGAGGGAGAGGGACAAGCACACCCTGCGCTGAGCGTAGAGCCAAATGTAGGGCTAAATCTCAGGACCCTGACATGACGACTTGAGTCGAAATCAAGAGTTGGATGCTTGACTGAGCCACTCAGGTGCCCTTATTGTGACATTTTTAGACCTGAGGAGATGTGGTGTGACCACATTACTCAATAATAGGAGAACTGTGAGACTGAGGTAGGGTAGGGTTAATTGAAAAAATGCTTCAGGGTTACTCTATAAGATAACTTGAACTATAATTCAATTTAGGGCTATACATGGGTATTTTGTCGTATGTGATATTATTTTTTAGAATCCTTTGTTTAACTCTAGTCCTTGTGAAAGCATTATCACTGAACCAATCCATTCACAGTTGACACTTGCTGTATCCTCTAAAATGTCCTTTTAATGGACCTGATAATCCAGAGCGGTAGCCCAAGCCCAAGATCATTTGCTCCAACAAAGATGAAGTCAGAATTTTGTAGTTCTTTTTTAGGGAAAGACACTAAGGTGAGAGAAAGAAATAGCCAAAGTATTAAAAATATTCAGTTCATTATATACCTGTTGAGACCTTTCTGTTGACTCAGTGTGACAAGGTTGCAGAGATTAGTAGGAGACAGAGTAGTCCTCAAGGAATAGCTTAGAAATTGGCTGTGTAGTAATTTTATCCCTTTTTGAATCCTTGTATTTAAAAGGGGCATCCATTTTCTGTTTCCCTATGCATAAAGAAGGGCATCTTGAGTCCAGAGCAAGTAAGAATGTATAACATTCTTTATAATTTTCCTGGTATATTCTTACTAGATAAGAAGTAAATGCTTCTGTATATACTAGAGTAAGCAATACATTAGTAATTACTTCCTGTAGCAAAATTAGTATTTCATTTCTGGAGAACAATTTTGAAGAAATAAATTATTGAATCCTATATCAATTTCCCCCCTTTTCTCTAAAAACTAAAAATGAAGAGATTCAATAATTTTGGGCTTTATGGCTTTAATATTTTGTTTTTAGCTTAAAATTATTAATTACTATTAGTATTAGTATAAATACCATAAATATTGTTCTTGTAGGATAATTATTTTGAATCTTAGAAATTTTAGATAAATGGCTTATGTTAAGGGCAAATAATTATTTTTTTAGTAACTGCTTCCTATTTAAATATAAGGATTAAGTATTTTATTGTTTACCATGGAAATTGTAGAAACCTGGATTGATGATGTCAGTATTATTGAATTATTGAAAGGGTGTCCTTAATTTGTAGATACACTCAAGTGTTTAAAGTTAATGGTTATTAATTATAGTAAGGTTTAAATGAGATGAGCAGCTTAAATCATTAGGTGATAAGTTTTCTTTTTTTTATGTAGATCAATCTATAATGGATGTTTTGAAACATAAAAGTTTTCTAGAAGAACTGTTGTTTTGGACTATAAAGTATGAATTCCCTCAGAAGATGGTAACTTTCTTACTCAACATGCTTCCAGATCAAGAGTATAAGGTATCTATGTTTTTTCCCTTCTTTTCTGAACTTTGCTCCTCTTTCTTTACCTTTTCATCATGAAATTTTTTGGTTTGTTTTTAAGCTGTGTCTTATTTTATTGTAGCTTTGAGGACTGAGATAAAACTAATAAAAAGCATTAGCTTATTTTGTTGTCAAAATAGGTTTTGCACAAAAAGCACAGGATCATAGATCTGAGGCAAAGCAGTTTACAAAGCAGTATTCCTAAGAGTAGTCTGTCTGCATGGAACTTGGTCCAAAGAGAATGCTGGGAGACAAACAAAAAAATAATTGCACAAGTAAATATGTAGTCAATTAAATTGTGGTAGGTTCTCCAAAGGAGAGTTACAAAGTGCTATGAGAATGTTTAAGGGGTCAGCTGAATTTAGATTGTGGGATTATAGGGACTTCTGGCTGGTTCAGTTGGTAGAGCTTGCTATTCTCGATCTTGGGGTGATGAGTTCAAGACCCATGTTACGTGTAGAGATTACTTTAAAAAAAAAAGTGGATTGTGAGGTTAGGTTTGAGAAAATCACAGGGTTAGTTGCTGCTGGCCATAAGCGTTAAAGAGAGAACAGTTATTGACCTATATACACACGTAGATAGGTGAAGACTGTAGTTCCAGAGGGTCTAGACTCTCACTTATGACCATCATGTGATTATGGCAAAGTGACACAGCCTAGTGTATGATGAAAAGAAAATAAATTATGCTATCCTTCTTCTTCCTTTTTTTCGGCTGTAGTTCTCCTTATGGTTTATATAATAAAGCCTCTTTAGGAGTTACACTTTAATGAATAATGGCATTGTTTTATGTCTTTATACCTGGTTAAGAAAAGAAGAAGTGGTGTGTATGGTACATAGAGAGAGTATTTATTTACTCAGATAGTGGTCAGTTTTCCAGTCAAATAGGAGAAGACATTTCTTTTGGAGTTAATCACATTGATTCTCTTGATTTTAATTATATTAAATCCTCTGGTATGGTTTTAAGCTGAGACTTTAGATTTTGTTGTTAAAGTAGATAGCACAGAACAAAGATACCTACTTCGACATTAGTGAATTGATATATTTGTAACCAAAGTGAAAATTGGCATTTTTAAATCATGATACTTAAAATTGTTCTAAAACTTTAATAATTTAAAATGTCTATTAAAATTTTTTTAATCATCCAAGTATTTTGCTAATGTTTCAGACAAAAGAATGTGACTACCATCATCATTGAAATAACTTTTAAAATTTCTGTGGGTGTCATCATAAGCTAATAATAGCTCTAAAATGTTAATATAATATATTGGAAAATGCGTTATAAAACTCAAAGTTAAACTAATATGTTTTTTCTTCCTATTTAAAAATTTACAGGTTGCTTTCACAAAAACGTTTGTTCAGCATTATGCTTTCATTATGAAAACACTGAAGAAAAGTCACGAGTCAGACACAATGTCTAACAGAATTGTGCATATTAGTGTTCAGTTGTTCAGCAATGAAGAGTTAGCCAGACAGGTAACAGAAGAATGTCAGCTGCTGGATATTATGGTCACTGTGCTATTATACATGATGGAAAGTTGCCTTATTAAAAGTGAGCTACAAGGTAAACTCAGAATTATTTCACTAGTTTTATTATTGGTATACTTTGTGTAACTAGTCTTAAAAACCTCCTTACATGCTTAAAATAGCTTTAAAAATATTATGAAGTAATACATCTTTGTTAAAGAATTTTTTGAAAATTTTCATCAAAATTTAAAGATAAACTTTATTATTTTTAAGGCAAACTTTAAAATTACCTTTAGCTTTGTTATTCACAAATAGCTGTTAACAGTTTTGGATAGTTCTTTTCTGTCTTTTTGTATGATACGAGTATATTTACAGATTCAAATAATACTTAAAAAATATGCTGCTATATTGTATGTGTTGAAACATGTTTTTTAATGGTTGCAGGTATTAATGTCATATGGCTTTACCATAATTTAACCATTTCTTTATTAGTCATGTACCTATTTTTTTATTATAAATTTTTATTATCTGCCTTAGACATTTTTATATGCCTGTAGTTTTAAATTTAAAAGTTGAAATAAATCTTCCCTTTTTTTTTTCCCTTAGAGAGGTCTTTAGTTTTTTTCTTTTGTGCCCACTATATGATTGATACTCCTCAAACTACTATAATATTTCTAGCATCTCCTCCCATTCTCATTTCACTGTGGTCTTTCATCTTAACTTTACCTCCCTGTAATAATTTGTTTTATTTGAGTATTTGCTGTGTACAGGGCACTGTATTAATACCATTCATATGTTGTCTCAGTTACGTTTCTGAACAGTTCTCTGAGATTGGTATTATTATTATCCATATTATTCCCACTTTAAAGATGAGTAAGTTGAGGCTTAGAGAAGTTAACGCATTTACCATAGGTTAGACAGCTAGTAAATGACAGAGCCAAGGTCTTTTTATCTCCTGATGTCTACCCTTAACCATGACACAAGGCAGGTCCACATTGATAGTACTGTGTCTTACAAGTTGGCACATGGGGCTAAACTTTAACAACATACCTGAGATTAAATCTTAGGACCTTTCCATTGTCTTTGGAGGAGAGATCTTGTAGTTGAGACTTGCTTTGTTTCACTGTTACCTCCTTTTGCATATCAGCTACTATTTTCTCTCTGTTTTCATGTCATCCATTCTCAAGTGATACCATAACCTGAAAATTGGTGTATGCTCAGTGCGGTATGCAGTGCTTATATATGCTAATGATAGCTAGCTAAAATGATAGCTATCAGCTTTTGAGCACTCACTATGTGCTATGCTCTTTCCTCAGTACTCTGTATGATGTCATTTAACTGTGAAGTAGATACTGTTTTTTTCCATTTTATAAGTGAGGGAACTGTGGCTTAGGGAGTTGAAGTCAATGATCTATGGTTTTGTAGCTGTAAATAGTAAGGCTAGTTGTCTGAATTAAACCTGTACTCCTGCCCACTATGTAAGTCTGTCTTCCTGTTGTAGGTATAATGGGAGCATAATACATTATTTACATTAAGCAATATATCTCTTCACCTTTTTAAAGGAAAATTTAAAAGGTGCTTTGTATTATAGCTCTTCTATTTTCAGATAAGATGACCCTTTCTTTTGAAGATTAAGCTACATATATTACATGTATTGCTTGTTCTTTTTTGAAATGGTATCTATTATAATTCATTTGTATCAATGATATTCTTATATATCAAAATATATATTTAGAGAAAGACTTTCCCCTAAAAGAGTATTTTTAATTTATAAACTAGAAAACTTTAATTTTAAAAATTGTTTTGAAATTTTAAAGATATTATTTGTTTGAGAGAGAAAGAGAGGTGGGGCAGGACAGAGGGAGAGAGAGTGTCTTCAGTGGACTCCATACTGAGTATAGAGCACAACGCCAGGCTCTATCTCATGACCTTGAGATCATGACCTAAGCTGAAATCAAGAGTCAGATACTTAACTGACTGCACCACCCAGACCCCGCTAAACTAGAAAACTTTTTAAAGTTAGAAGTATCTGCTCTTTTGGAAAGCATCTGGAGTTCTTTTTTCTTGACTAAATGGTTTAGCTGTGCTTATTAGTTACATATTGTTTGTACTTGATCTTTAAGGAAGAATGTTTGAGAAGATGTGTTTCATTCTCATATTTTTTCTGTAGCCAGATTTCTTGAAAGAGTTTGTTTGTTTCCTTGCTTTTTAGTCACTCAGTAACTGACTTCAGTCTAGTGTCCACTTCCACCATTTTGTTGCTCTCTCTGAAATTGTTTGTGACTCCACTGGTCACATGTTCTATTTTTCCCTGAATGGCTCCAAGTAATGCTATTGTTCTGACATAGTTATTCATACAATCTCCTTTACTCTCAAAAGTGTCCCATTTTATACAGTAAATTATGGGATCACCCTTTTCATGACATACATGATGGGGAAACCTGTGGCCACTCTTCGGACCTTATCTTTACTGATTTTCAGCAGCGTTTCACACTGTTGATTGTCTGTTCTTTCTGTGGCCCAAAGCTCTTTTCTTCTTCTCCTGTTGATGTTGGTGTTTTTTTGGCACTTTGTCCTGGTATTTTTGCTCTTCTCACTTTTCCTATATTTTCTAAAATCATACTGCAAAGTCTTATTTTTGCCTTCTGTATGTACTTGCCTTCTAATGCAGTTAATCTATTCTGAAAATTCTTACACAAATTGAATTTTCTGGAAGCTAAGTAGCTGGTGGTAGCATTGCTAAGATCTTTAAGTATAAATGTATTTCTTCTAGCAGTAAATTACATTATTTCTAAGCCAAGGTCTAAAATGGTTTTTAGCTCCCATGGTGTTTTAGTCCTCTTTTAAAAGTAGCATTATGTTTCATGATACATATTTACTGGCTTTCTAAAAGCACCATAAACTTTCCTGTTCTTACATCAAGAGTATTAGAATAGGCTTTAAATATTTTGAACTACCTATAACTAGCTACAGATATTACAATAGGATCTCTATACTTTGTTTTTTTAATAGATCTATCTAGCTTTTGCAGAAATTTTCATTAGACAGTATTTGAAAATTTTGTCTATACTATTAGTAAACATAGAAGCTGATACAATGAGAATTCACATGGGCACAGCAATAGCTAAAGATTAAAAGGAAAAAACCTCTAGTAGTAAGCGATCACTACCTTACACTTTTACTTTGTTATATTTTCTTCTGTACCGTATTACTTTGTGATTCTAAATATAGCTATTCATATCGCTGAAATTTTATAATTTGTCTTATGAAACAAACTGTATAAAATGGAAACTTAAAACCATATGTTGCAGGGATGCCTGGGTGGCTCAGTTGGTTAAGCATCCGACTCTTGATTTCAGCTCAGGTCGTGATCTCAGGGTCATGAGATCGAGCCCCGTGGTGGGCTCTGCACTGGGTATGGAACCTGCTTAAGATTCTCTTTCTTGCTCCCTCTGCCCCTCTCCCCCACACTCTCGTACACACTCTCTCTCACAAAAAAAAAAAACTAAAAAAAAAACAAAACAAAAAAAAAAAAAAACAAAACCCAAGCCCACCCCCAAACCCCCAAAGCCATATGTTGCATAGCCATAGGAATGTCTATAGATGTACTAATTCCAGATTGTTCTGTCCTGCATATTAAACTGTTTATTGAGCTGTATTCTTTGAATGTCTGCAAGTACTTCAAACACACAATGTCCACACCAAAAATTCCTTCTTATCGCTCCATCAAGCTTGCTTCTTTTCCATTATTGTGTGTGTGTGAGTGTGTATATATGTATGCATATATGAGTACACAAGTGTGTGTTTTGGTACCACTGTCAACCACCTATGCAGCTGCCCAACTTAAAAACCTGTGGGTCTTTTTTGACTTCTTCGTGCTTCTTGTAGATTTAATAAACATCATCAAGTCTGCATTTGAACCTTCTAAACATCTTTAAATAGCTGTTCTTTTCATCTTTACATCTTCATGCCACCACCATAGTTCAAGCCATTGACATCTCTAGGCCTCATACCACTAGCCATCATCACCTTCCTTTGGTCACTTTCCACACTACACTTTTGATCATGTCCCTGTCTCTCAACCCTACCCCCCAGTGGCTTGCCATCCTCTTCACATGAACTCCAAACTCCTGGAGCTGATTTTTAAGGCCCTCTGGCTTCATTTGTGCCACCTATCCCCTGCATTCTTTGTCCCAAAGATTGCATCCTTTTTTTATATTGCTTCCTCTACCTACAACACCATTTCCTCTCCCATCCCTGGTTTATTTGGCTGATCCTAATTCCTCCTTCATTCTGTAGATCTTAGTTTAGACATCACTTCCTAAGTTAGAGTCTTTTCCTGAATTGTAGACTAGCTGTATTTATTCATATGACTTCTTGTACTTTGCCTATGATAGCCGTATCACACTGTCTTACATTAATCTCAGTGGAGAGACTATATAAGTTTTGACTTTTTACCACTTTAGTCTCAGAACTTAAAAGAATACCTGGCCCTCAGTAAGCGCTGAATAAATATTTGTTGATGAGTGAATCTCAGTTGGGGAAAAATAGAAGTCCTAGTCACTTTATTTTACCAAAAGTTCCAAGGTGTTTTTCATAAGAACAGTAGTATTTACAGCAGTGCCAGGAAAATAGTCATTTTGATTTATTTTATTCTGCTTATTCATCTTCTGGTTTCAATTAAATAGAACAGTGATTTTCAGTGTTTAAAAAATTTCAAATTCCATCATCACTGAGCACTGTCCCATTAACATCAACTGCCCACCAACTCATGGCGGCAGCAGTTGTCAGTCAGAGATGGCTTTCTAACTCAGGTGACGTGGTTTGTAGAAGCCCCACTTCTTCATTCAGTTACACTCTCTCTCCTATTGAGAGGCACTAAAAGAGTACATACTTAACTTTGTGGGTCCTGTTCTTACATACTATTAAATTTAAGAGTTAGGTAAAATAATTTCATGGACTGAAACCTAAATTTAATGTATGGAAAATAAGAAGTACAGTAGAAGCCTCTTCACTGATGAGTTTATTTTTATTTTTAAAAATATTTTAAACTTCTAAAAAAGATACTGTTTGTTTGTGAGAGAGTGAGCTCTTGTGCTCAAGAGAGAGAGTCCACACCAGTTGGGGGGAGGGGTGAAAGGAGAGGGAGAAGCAGACACCCCACTGAGCGGGGGCTCCATCCCAGGGCAAAACCCTGAGATCAGGGCCTGAGACGAAGGCCAGTGCTTAACCCACTGAGCCACCCAGTGCCCCCACTGATGAGTTTCACAAGTAGATGGTTAGTTGAAAAAGTTGGTTAAAGTGAGTTATCATTAAAAAAATTATACATGTATTAAACAGTGCATTTTAACTTAAAATACAGAGATGCTTGTTCATTCTCTAATCTGTTAATTTTGGGCAAAGCATTTTTAAGTTTTGGTTTCCGTGTCTGGAGTTCTCCCTCATCACTTCTGTAAGGCATCATCTGTGATTTCCAGTTTCAGTTTCTTTGGAGTTAAAACAAAAAATCTGTATAAAGCAATCTGAGTGCAAAAATTCTAGGTTTTTATGATTTTTCTCTAAGATTTTTTAGCATTTTCTTAGATACTTTTATTGTCTCTCAAAAGCTTATGATCCAGTTTTTGTCATACCTGTCTTTATATTTCATCAGTTTATGTACTTTTAATTTAAAATTTATAATGAAAAGAACAGTTAGCATGAACAGAAACAAAAATGGACTCTGGATAAGCATATATCTTGGCTTATGTACTAGGGAGCAGGTTACTAGCTTTGTGCATTCTGTATATTATGGGTATTAGTATGCTTTACATTAGGAATGGGGGCTCATTTGTCCAGTGAATTAGTTAATTTGGACTAGATTAGGAGAGCTAATGCATATATGCTGTAGCTTCTAATAGTAAAGATTTGTACATACCTAATCTTTCCCCACCCACAATAATGTAATTAAACTTTGAGGATTTTTTTTAAAAGGCTTAAGTTTATTTATATGTGTATCTTTCATTTTTGGAATACTGTACTTGCTAAAAAGTTACATTTACATATGTTTTGAGTAGAAGAAAGCAATTATACATCACATATAGATTTGTTTGGTAAGATGGAATGAGATTAATCTAGGGATAAAATATTTTATTGATTAGAACTAAAGATACTGCATTATGTTGTTAAAATTAGGAAAATAATAAGGTTTTATGAATATATAGCTAGCTCAGTATCATGTAATATGTTAGATATGTGGTCATAATTATTTTAATGATGTGCTTAGTGTTATGTTAATGTTTCATTTAATTTCCTTAAGATATGTGTCTTTCCCTCATTTTATAGATGGGGAAATTGATTCAGAGTCTAAGTAACACACCATATGTCTGGCTGGAGTTTGAATTGAGATATCCCTGATTCTAATGTATATAATGTGTATTGTTGGTAAAGTTTTTGTTTTTTTAAAACTTATTTATTACTGGGCTGTGTATGTCTGTTTTAGATGAAGAAAATAGTTTACATGTGGTAGTGAACTGTGGAGAAGCATTACTGAAGAATAACACTTATTGGCCTCTTGTCAGTGATTTTATTAATATCCTTTCTCATCAAAGTGTGGCTAAGAGATTTTTGGAGGACCATGGTTTGTTAGTTACATGGATGAACTTTGTATCTTTCTTTCAAGGTATGAATTTTACTTTTTTGTCAATTTTTTTAGTTTACAAAATGCCTAATGCAAGACGATCTAATATACTGATTAAAAGATAAAAGCACATCATTCAGGTTACATGTGAACTATCTCATTTTAATTAATATTTGTAAGTACTTTAATCAATTGTTCATGAAAATATATCAGAGTTATGAAAAATACCAAATTATTAAAAAGGAAACAGGAGTGTAAATCCTATACTTTAAATCATTAATCTAGAAATTTCTGATTTATTCTTCAAGAAAGATTTATAACACTTTCATAAAATTTCAAATAGTGTCAATTAAAATAGTTTTGACTTTCTTATTCAACATACTCAATTTAAAGAGACAATTCACAAAGTGTTTCTAAGAAAACCTAGTTTGTAAAAACTTCTAAAAGGACTATTTTACTTCAAATTATTTATTTATTTCTCTACATATCGTGTCATTTATGCCATTTGTGTGCACTGAGTGTTTGGTACTAGGAAGTATTTTACTTGATTTTTAATATGAATACTTGCTTCTATTTGGCAAGGTTTATATCTGCTTTAATTTTTGCAAGGTATGAACTTAAACAAGCGAGAACTAAATGAGCATGTGGAATTTGAGTCTCAGACCTACTATGCTGCCTTTGCTGCTGAACTTGAGGCCTGTGCACAGCCAATGTGGGGGCTCTTATCCCATTGTAAAGTTAGGGTATGTTGAAAATATTTTTGTTAATTTCTGTCTTTACCTTTAAAAGAGCGATTTAAGAAAAAGATTTGTGAAAACATTGATTTGTTTACTCATATATATTAATGGGCAATGTTTAATTGTGAATTCAGCTCTGTGAACACTGACCTGAGACATTAACTACTATTCTTTGGCAAGTTGGAGTTCATTATATTGTCAGATCCTTGCAGCCTTTCCTTACTGTGAATAGTCTTTGGAGCTTTAGAAGTCTCCACATTTATCTTTATTGCTTCATTTTATCCATTATCAGTTAGTTATCTGTTGCTTCTTGTCTTTAAGGAGTGAGAATAGTTCTTAATAACGTTTACATTTTTAAGATTCCAAGCACAAAATTAGTATGCATTTCATACAACTTCCAGTTGTCTACCAAAGGAATCTTAAGAGTAGCATAGCAGCAACATTAATTCTTGTAATTGGATAAGAAAATGATCATTTGTAATTGGATATACTTGTGTCTTTGTATACAAATATATATTTCACTTCTGCATTTTTAAAGTAGTGGTTTAATGGATCTCCAGAGTCCTTGGATGATCCAGAAAAATGGAATTTCCTGACCCTACTAAACTAAGAACTTGACTGAGCTTTTGCTCTATGGATCTCATGAAGACCAACTGGCAGCGTGTATCCATAAGCATGCTGGACCAGATTTTATAGTGGAAATGTTTTGAAGTCTTGGATTCTTATCTTGGGTCTGCCTTTTTCTATTTGTATTGCTTGGTCAACTCACTTAAAACTATTTGACAGTCTCCTACCTTCTCCTTGTTTTTGAGAAAGCAAAACAAAAGAAAACGGAAACAGGACACTGAAGCCTGCCCTTCATAGGGTTATTATGAGGCCCTCCTCCATATGTTCTTTAAATATATGAGTCCCTTTAATCAGATTTATATTTTCTCTCATGACTTCAGCTCTTCTCCAAATGCATGTGACTTACAACTTTGTTAGTCTAGCCGGGTTCAGATTTCCAGCAGCTCTGGTTATTCATGAAGATCTCATAATAGGTAGATGGATTTTCTCAAGCCACTAACTAACTTATTAAATTCATTGGCCCATACTGTATGGGTCATTTAATGGTGTCATTTAATGTCATTTAATGGTGTCTGAAAATATAGTTATCTAATATAGAAACTTTCTGTCCTTGCTGTGCCAGTTTTATTCAACCTGTTATTAGATACCATGAAATTTCTCTTCTGCTCCAGAAATCCTCCCTACCACTTCTTTCCTGTCTTTTAATTTATTTCCTTATATTTTTAAAATCTGGGTTGTTAAGATAATTTAACTGGTTTTCCTGCCTCTAAATTCTTCCTACTCTTGATCTGTCCCAGTACTGAAATTACCTTTCTAAGCTCTGTGCATCTTTCTCCTTTGCTTAAAGAATCATTAAAATTCTTATCAGTCTACAGGGTAACATCTGTGTTTCCTATAGAGACATTTAAGATCCTCCATCATTTGCCCTTAACTTGTCTCTCTCTCTCTCTCTCTTTTTTTTTTTTTTTTAAGATTTTATTTATTTATTTGACAGGCAGAGATCACAAGTAGGCAGAGAGGCAGGCAGAGAGAGAGGAAGGGAAGCAGGCTCCCTGTTGAGCAGAGAGCTCGATGTGGGGTTCGATGTAGAGCTCGATCCCAGGACCCTGGGATCATGACCTGAGCTGAAGACAGAGGCTTTAACCCACTGAGCCACCCAGGTGCCCCTTAACTTGTCTCTTATAATTCATCTTCCATTTATACCCCTCTGTCTTTCTGCGTGTCGTCACTGGATTGAATACCATTTTTCAACATGTGGTATCCCTCTTTTGGTACCTGTGCATTTGTTCAAACTAATCCCTTTTTGGCTTATGGTCTCTCATTCTTTCTGCTTATTCTTAGATGAGAATCATTTTGGAAGCCTTTTTTTAGTTTAATTTAATTTTTTAATTTTTAATTTTTTAATTTTTTTCAGTGTTCCAAGAAGCTTAAGAATGCATGTGCCTAACCCCCATTTTCAGAGATTTTGATTTATTTGAGTGCAGAAGGACCTTGGCAGTGATTCTAACCAGAGTAAAGAACCACTAGTGTTAGCTCTATAAAAATGCTATTCAGCTGATATGTAATCTGCTCATTAAATTCTTTCAGTCAGGTTTATGATTCTAGTTTCAGTGCTTTCACAGTACTTTGTTTAATTTCCACTGTAGCATTTATCAAAACAAAATAAAACAAAACAAAACAAAACCCTGTTATATAATATGAGGTTCATTTGTTCATTCACTAAAAAAAAATTTTGTTCAATGCTGTTCTTATGCCAGACACTATCTAGACATTATGTAGATGCTTAGGTTTTGGTGTTAAGCCAGATAGACATGGTCCTTATTTTCATGGGGCAGTCTGATGGGGGAGATAGATGTTATGTAGGTAAACACACAGATTCATTTTGTAAGTGCTCTATAGGAGAATAACAGTTTGCTCTGAGAGTAATGAGTGTGGGGGCTGATTTGTCTTGTGCTCAAAAGAGAAGTCAGGACTAAGGTTATAAATTTTAGACCCTTGGTAACGTAAATGGTATTTATCACCAGGGGTGTGGGATGAGATCAAGTAGGGAGAGAAGTGAACCCTGAAGAAAGAACTAACACTGCAACATCAGAGGTAAGGGTGAGGAGAAAACCTAGAGGAGCACAGTATCCTATAAGCCAACAAAAGACAGTGATGGATCAGGGAGGTTGATATGATGTTAATATGAAAAGATCAGTATTTTAGGAAGATTATTCTGACAGTTGTGTTTAAGATGAATTTGGATTATGAAGTTGGGTTTATGTTTATCTCTGATAATGAACTCATTGTTTCTGGGCAGTAGTTTAATTTTTAGCTTTGAAGGCCAGGATTGCAGTGTGTTATGGTTCCCTTAACCTAAGAAGTGAAGAGAATCGAGAAAGCAACCCCATTTAAGAGAATCTGAGAGAGCAGTTTCTCAGTTAAGGGAGTATTTAGTTCCTAATTAAGACATTCTCTTGATGAGCCCCCACATTCTGCCAGACATTGTTCTTCACACTGTATTATTTGTATTATATTCTTAATCTAGTCTTCATTGTATCTCTTATAAAGTAGATAGTATCATCTCTTTCCTGCAGAAGTTAAATAACTTGCTCACGTTCACACAGCTTTTAAGTAGAAGCTGAGTTTGAAAACAAATCCATCTGATTTCAGCTCTTTCCCATTTTGCTGTAATTGTCTGTTAAAAGCAAGATTGTCTAGAGCTTTTTAGCAATACTGTTGTTGGGTTTTAGAAATGTAAGCTAGAAGAAAGACTATTAAAGTAAAACAGCTGTTTTGTTGTTTCTATTCTCTAATTAAAAGATATAAAACTAAAGGATTAACAATAAAAAGAACTTCACCTGGTAGCTTACTTTCTTTGTATGATTGCCCTAAATGCTGTTTGGTTCTTGAAAATGTTAAGAGCTAGTTAAATAACTAATACTATATTGATAACAGATTGGATAAAGGGATGGGACATTTCCAGAATCCTACAAATTTTTGCTTTCCTAACAAAACAAATAAGCTGTAAAATCTCCATCTAGTGGCAGCTTTAGGTAACTGTGGCCCTGACCCTTTGGAGCACGTAACTGCTTGTCACACATAGTGCTAGACTATGATACGGAGCATTTTACAAACATTATTTAATTTGCTTCCTTCACAGTACTAGGAGGTAGATAGTATTATGTCCATTTCTGTCCATTTTTACATATGCATAAACAGACTGAAAAGGTTATAAAACTAGTAATGTGCACACTGCATTTTTTTGGATGGGTGTGTTAGTGGTGGGAGATGGGAGAAAGAAGATCTGGACATGATTATTAAATATACTATATTTAGGAATGGAATTAACTGGTCACCTTTTTTTTTTTTTTAAAGATTTTATTTATTTATTTGACAGACAGAGATCACAAGTAGGCAGAGAGGCAGGCAGGCAGAGAGAGAGAGAGAGGAGGAAGCAGGCTCCCTGCAGAGCAGAGAGCCCGATGTGGGGCTCGATCCCAGGATCCTGGGATCATGACCTGAGCTGAAGGCAGAGGCTTTAACCCACTGAGCCACCCAGGCACTCCAATTGGTCACCTTTTTAAAGGCTCTTGATACATGCTTTTCAAATTTTTCTACAGGAGGGTCATATCAGTTTGTATTTGTACCGAAAGGGTATTATGTTACCCTTTGCCCAAACATTTGGTTTTAAATGTTTCTTTACCTGTGACTTATCTGCCACTTTAGTTTGGTTATGACACATTATTTATGGTAACTTAAAAGTGCCATTAAATTTTTTTTCAGTAAGAAATTAGGAAACATAATGTATAAAATAATATTTTTTAAAGATAAATTTCATATAGTGTAGATTAAAACAGGGTGAGACTGTTGGCAAGGAAACTAGATAAGTGATATTTGGTCTGGATGGTAGTGGACATAAGATGGACCTGCATGATAATATATATGATAGAATAATGAACAAGACAGGAGACTGAGCAGGATGAAGGAGAAGGCAGCAATGGGAAACTTAGCTTTCTTTAAAGCACAGAATAATTGTATATAAAGATTTTAATCTACTTGACTTTGATGTGACCTGCACTTTTATTATACATCAAGGCCAAAAGTGTCTTCTTTTAAAAACTTTTTTTTATAGATTTCAAATTTATACAACCTAAAATTCTCTATTTTAACCATCTTAAAGTATTAGTTCAGTCATATGGTATATTCACAAAGCTGTACAGCTGGTACCACAAATTCCCCACTAATCACCCATCTCCTAAAGAAACCTTATACTTCCCAGTCTCAGTCTGCTCTTATTCCCTGGAAACTGCTTTCTCCCAGCTGTGTCTATGAATTTGCCTAATCTGGATATTTCATATAAGTGGAATCATACATTATACAGCCATTTTCTTCTTTCACTTAGCATAATGTTTTCATGGTTCAACTCTGTTATGTTGTGTGTCATTTCTTTTTAAAGCTGAATAGTAATCCATTGCATAGATGTACCACATTCTACTTGTCCATTCATGGGTTAATGCCATTTTTTAGTTACTGTGGATAATGCTGCTGTGAACATTAGCATGTAAGTTTTTGTGTGAACAAATACTTTTAATTCTCTTGGGTATATGAGAGTAGACTTGTTTGGTCATATGGTAACTCTGAGTTTAACTTCACAGTGGCTATACCATTTTATATTTCCTCTGGCAATGTGTGAGGGTTCCAGTTTCTCCACATCTTGTCAACACTTTTTATTTTGCATTTTAAAAAAATAGAGCCTTCCTAATAGGTGTGAAGTGATAGCTTATTGTGGCTTTGATTTGCACTTTCCTAATGACTGATCATGTTGAACATCTCTTCATGTGCTTATTAGCCATTTGTAGATCTTCTTTGGAGAAATGTCTATTCAGATCCTTTGCCCATTATTATTATTTTTTTTAAAGAGAGGCTATCATGATTTATTTTGCCATTTAACTTAATAGTTTCCTATTTCAGTGGCTCAATTTCTCCATAAAACATTCTAATTTTCTTTCATAGTACTTTTGAGTGGCACACACTTATCTTTTCTTTTTAGCAAGCTAAGATATTCACAGGCTGCTCACAGTACTTAAAGGTTCTCTGCTCCTTTGTTGGTCTGTTTTTTTTTATTGTGGCAAATATGTAAAATACACAGTTTCATCATTTTTAGATGTACAGTTCATTGACATTAAGTACATTCTCTGTGTTGTGCAACCATAACCACCATTCATCTCTAAGATGTTTTCATCATCCCCAAAGATGCTGTACTCATTAAACAGTTAATATTAAGAAACTTATAATATTTTTGAAATCTCTTTGAATAGAGCTTGATATGCATCACCTAAAACTATTTCAGCTTTGATCCGTTTCCAAGAATAAATTATATAAAACATAACATGCTGTGTTTTTTAATTTTCCTAATTGTCTCTGGTTGTTACTATTAGTTTGTGAAACGATTTCTTAAAATGGCAAATGTGGTCTTCTGATTTTATATATATTATGTTACCATATATATAATTTTCATGTATTACATATAATTTGAAGTTGAAAATATACATATTTATATAATGTAAAATTTGTATAACTTATTATTTTAGGAAACTCAAGAGTATACTCGAAATGTTGTTAGATACTGCCTTGAAGCTCTTCAAGACTGGTTTGATGCTATTAACTTTGTAGATGAGGTATGTATATTTTTGACATATATAAAGGCACTTAAGAAAAGTGTTATATCTCATTTAACTGAAAATAATGAATATCTTTTCATGGGATAAGGCAAAGAAGTTAGGATGAGGATATTACCATTAAGTTTAAAAAAGGAGAGGTGGAAGATCAGTTCTTTGACATTTATGAGATTCTGAAGTGTACTAATCATACTTGCTTATAATTCCTTTATCTGTTATGAAGGGTATATGTCTCCATATTTCTCAGGAGTAAAGATTAGTTTCATTTAGAGGGGTTTAAAGTGACAGTGCAAATGTCGATAGGATAGGAGAGTTTAATGGAAAGGGTGTTACATCTTCATTAATTGGTTAGTGTTCTGTGGGCTTGAACAAAGGTGATTGTTATTAATAATGAGCTGAGAAGAGTTGGCACAGAACATACTCTGTATGAATTAAACAAGGGCTTGCTTGTAAATAGCCCAAGTTTTCTCTCAGAAGCCCCTTTTATTCCTTTTATAAAGTGGGTTCACAGTATGCCATATGCATAAGGAGGGCCGTGTTTCAGACCACTCCAACTCCCCCATCTCATTTCTGAATCCTGGGCAGATGGAACTCCTGCTGTCTGTCTGTCTCTCTTTTTTTTTTTGTGGGTGGGGAATTTTTTTCTTTTTCTTCACCTTTCTTTAAAAATTTTTTTGGATACAATCACAAACTTATTGAAAATTTGGAAGTGAAGTACAAAGAACTTTGTTTTCTTGAACCATTTGACTTGATGCCCATTACTCTCAAATACTTCAGTGTGTACTTCCTACAAGCAAGGGCTTTGTCTTATACAACCAGATACAATTATAAAAATTAGGAAGTTAACGTTAATATATAATTACTGTCCAATCCTTAGAATTCCTTCATGTTTTATAAATTGTACATTGTTGTCCTTTATATCAAAATCATCCTAGTCGGAATCCCATGTTGCATTTAGTCATCATGTCTCCAGTCTCCTTCTGGGACAGTTTCTTATTTTGAAGAGTACAGCTAGCTCAGTTATGCTATAGAACACCCCTCAGTCTGGGTGTGTCCCATGATTAGATTCAGATTATGCCTCCATACTTTCAACCTGTTTTACTCCTTTGCCCTCTCTAGGATTAGTCACTCAACTGGAACTTCTCTCATTCCAGCTCTCATTTGTATTTGAAACTTAGGAGGTATTGTTGAAATGGTAGCATCACTAAGACAATGCTTTGAGGAAGGGGAAAACACCATTACTCAGAGGGTTACACACATCAAATTAATTGTTGAGCTCAGGGGTGAAGTTAAGGACAGTTAGAATCATGTATGGTATATAGAGCAGCTGAACTCAAGGAAATAGTAGATTTATTTTTCACACAGAAATATTTTAGGAATTTATTGAATATTGGAAATAATTTAAAGAGATTAGAAGAGAAAATAAGCATAGAACTTAAGGAATCACACAGTATGGTTTGTTTTTTAAGGTATTTTCAAAGTTTTTTGTTACTTAAAGTGCTTTGGCATATTTGTTCCTCAAAACAACCCTTTGAAGTAGAGAAGGTATTATTCCCCCCCACCCCGCCTTTTTGTAGATGTACAATGGAGATGCAAAGATATTAAATGACTTGCCTATAGTTGCATAGCAAATTACTGGTAGTTCTGAGTCTAGAGCCCACATCTCTTAATTCCTTGTCTGGTAGTATTTCTTTTTCTTTCTTTCTTTTTTTTTTTTTTTTAAGATTTTATTTATTTGAGAAAAAGAGGGAGAGAGAAGGAGAGAACAGGGGGTGGGGAAGAGCAGAGGGAGAGGAATAAGCAGACTCCCCACTGAGTGCAGAGTCCTATGCAGGGCTCAGTCTGTGGACCCTGAGATCACAACCTGAGCTGAAATCAAGAGTTAGACGCTCAACCATCTGAGCCACCCTGGTGCCCCTTGTCTGGTAGTATTTCAGTGCTGTTGGCTATTTTCAGTGGAAAGAGCTATAAAGTCAAGCAGACCCAAGTATAAATTGTGGCTCTGCCACAAACCAACTAGCTATATGATCTTAGTTTTTCTTTTTTAAGATTTTATTTTTATTTATTTATTTGAGAGAAGAGTGTGTGCACACACATGAGTGGCGGGGGGAGGGAGAGAGAGGGGGAGGGAGAGAGAGAAACCCAAGCAGACTCCCCGCTGAGTGAGGAGCCCAACCTGGGGCCCAATCCTATGACCTGGAGATCATGACCCCAGCCTAAACTGAGAGTTGGACATGGAACTGACTAAGCCACCCAGGTGCCCTTTAAACAGGTTTTTAAAAGTTATTTTATTTTTAACTTTTTTTTAGCATTGCTGAATCCATCTCATCTGTTTATTTGAAGATAATATTATTAGCTAATGAGGATTGAATATGAGGCTTGTTAACATTTGTGATAAATATTTCTTTTACCATCCTTGTGAGTGAATATCAGAAGTTATTGGGGTAGTCTAGCACAGATTAAATAAATCTTTTGAACTGAATTAACACAAATCAAACAGTGATATTAGAAACAAGGGATAGAATAAATTTCCCAGTAAGGCAGGCCATTTAAGAATCCTCAAATACATGAATATCCTGTAGGGCAATGATTATGAATATGTGGCAGGGTAGTTTGATTGGAGTTCTTTGATAAGAGGGAAGTAGGATACTTATTTAATGTTAGGTACTTATTAAAGTAGAATATATTGAATGTTTGCTGTTTAAAAAACACTGGAGATAGGTGCTGAAACAGTCCCTAATTTAAGGAAATGGGAGACAGGTAAATGGTTAACATGATTCCAGTGCTCCTGTAAAGTTGTGACCAGGTACTATGGGGGAGAATAGAGTGTAGTATCTGATTTAGCTTAAGGGATTTAGGAAATGTTTCCTAGAGGAAATTTCATTTGAGCCAAGTCTTAAGGATATGTTAATCCATTGGGAGAAGGAATGTGTAGTATTTGAGGCAGAGAGAACAGCATAGAGGCACAAAAGGTTGGTGAGTTAGGGATACTACCTGTGGTGCATGAGTTTATGTGACAGGAGATGAGGCTGGAGACGTAAGCTGTCTTCTCAAGGGTTAGAAGGTTATCAGGGGGTTAGAACTATAGGGAACCATTAAAAGATTGTGAATGGAGGAGGTACAAGATTTAATTAATATTTTGGGAAGATCACCTCTTAGAACATATGGAGGTTTAAATAGCTTAAGGTATTTATGAATGCAAGGAAAAAACATTCTTGAGGCAGCTTAATTTAGGGGAGGCCTAATTTCTTGTGAGTACAAAGTGGGTAGCTCAGGGATCTTATGGCAGCCTCAGGTTCTGAGGAACTGATTAGAAAGCTGAACAGGAGCTCCTGTCTTTGGCCTTTGCTTTGCCCTATTTTTTCCCCCCCTCTGTATATTGGCTTTCTGTGCTTCTTTGCCTATGTGATGAAATGTTACCTTCCGGAAGTTGCTTAATGTTACAATTTCAAACATACTTCAAGATTCTGAGGATGTCTCTGAATCCAACATCCACTTTTTTTTTTTAAATAAAAATTTAAAAGATTTATTTATTTGAGAGAGAAAGAGCGAGTGAGCGCATGAGCTGGGGGAGAGGCAGAGGAAGAGCAGGAGGGAGAGAGAATCCTCAAGCAGATTCCCTACTAAGCAGGAGCCTGACACGGGGCTCGGTCTCACAACCCTGAGATCATGACCTGGGCCGAAATCAAGAGTCGGTTGCTTAATGAACTGAGCTATCCAGATGCCCCCCAACGTGAAGTTTTTAAGAGAAAAACATTTCTTATTGTTCAGGTTGTGTGAGATATCTTCTGCCCCGATTCCAATTAGGTATGGCTATTATAAACTTGACTGTCAGGCTCCATTCTGTCTGTGTGTTTGGGAGATGGAGTAGGGAGAGATGTTCTGAAAAGATGGGGAGAGTTGTGAGCTTGGCAGATAGCACAAAGGTGTGTCACGGAGAGTAAGAATAGAAAGCAGGAGGTGTCACTGAAATCTAGGCACTAAATGTTGAGGGCTGAGCTAAGGTTAGGGGCAGTGTGGGAACAGGGAAGGAAGTAGATTAAGAGATATTTGGAAAAGCTAATAAACACGATTTGGTGCCTCATCAGATGGTGGAGACTTGTGAGAGGGAAAGAATCTACATTTCAGATTTGAATTACTAGGGAACTGGGAAGAAACATTGAGGAGGATTGCGTTTTAGGACAAAGATGCTGAGTTTAGTTTGGACCCGAAGTATTTGTGGTTTGCATAGACTATTAAGTGATGATGTTCAGTAGACACTGGAATGTAAGGTTTGGAATTTAGGAGCGAGACTTCTGCTGAGATTTGGGATTCATCTTGGTCGAGTTGGCAGTCCAAGCTGTGAATCTGGATAAAGTCACCTAGAAGGAGAGGAGTAGAAAGCTGAGAATGAGGTCTGATGACCGCCATTTTATATGGAAGCAGTGGAAGAAGAGTTTAGCAAGTGGCTAATCTGTCACATTAAAAAAGAAGGGATTATGGAATATAATGCTGCAGAAGAGTATGAACTTCAGAGATACTAAAGCCTTGAAAGACAAGACAAGGTCCATGACTCTGTAGGTAACAGTACTATGTGTTGGGTACTATGTTAAAGATAATCCTCACAGCTGTCCTGCTGCTTATTATTTCTGTTCTACAGGCCAGTCATTTTGGCATGGAGAGTTTAAGTTACTTGCTCACAGCTTATAGTTGGAGGTAGCAGAGTCAGGGTTTGAACTCATGCAAATCTAGCTTTTAAGAGTCTGCTCTTAACCACTGTCCTTAATACCTTCAGAGGAAATTGAGGGAGATTCTGATTTAGCTAGTTAGTATAGAATATGTTACTCAGGTGATTATAGTAATGTGGGAGCAAACTTATTTTTAGTTGTAAAATAAGCGTAACATAAAATTTACCATCAGGCATTTTTAAGTGTATTTTTAAGTGTAAGTAGTGTTAAGTATATTCACATTGTTCTGCAGCCAATCTCCAGAATTTTTCATGTTTCAAAACTGTAACTCCTCATTTTCCTTTCCTTTCCAGCCCCTGACAATTATCATTATGTTTTCTGTGTATGATTTTTTTTTTTTAAAGATTTTATTTATTTATTTGACAGACAGAGATCACAAGTAGGCAGAGAGGCAGGCAGAGAGAGAGGAAGGGAAGCAGGCTCCCCCTGAGCAGAGAGCCCGCTGCAGGGCTCGATCCCAGGACCCTGGGATCATGACCCGAGCCGAAGGCAGAGGCCTTAACCCACTGAGCCACCCAGATGCCCTTCTGTGTATGATTTTGACTATTCTATGTACTTCATATAAGTGGAATCATACAGTATGTCTTTTTGTGACTGACATTTCACTTAGCATAATGTCCTTAAGTTTCTTACATGTTGTTGCATTTATCAGAAATTCCCTCCTTTTTATGGGAGGCAAACTTTTATTTATTAGAACAAATTTCTATAGCTCTTTATTCACACGTTGAGGGGGACGTTAATTATATTTGTTTTGAAAAAAAAAAAAAACTAAGGGATGGTGACATATTGCAACTCTTTATAACTTTTTAATAACTTTATACCAATATTACATCAGCATAATTGAATGTTCTGGATAAGGTTTTTTTTTTAAATTTTATCCAGAAAATATTTGCAAAAGCATTTAAAAACAAACAATACCTTTTTCATTTTTCATTTTTCTTATTTAAGGAGGACAGTTGTTATATAGTTTTGTTCTATAGTGATAGAATGATCCATGGGATTTGTAGATTTAAAATACAATTTTTAGGGGCACCTGGGTGGCTCAGTTGGTTAAGCGACTGCCTTCAGCTCAGGTCATGATCCTGGAGTTCCGGGATCGAGTCCCGCATCAGGCTCCCAGCTCCACGGGGAGTCTGCTTCTCCCTCTGACCTTCTCCTCACTCATACTCTCTCTCACTGTCTCTCTCTTCTCTCAAATAAATAAATAAAATGTTTAAAAAAAAATAAAATACAATTTTTATAATATTTACAAGAATGTCAGAGTTTCTTGATACATACGGTACTAAGCTTTCTCAAGGAGGGTGTGTGCTCAGTGCCAGTGTGGGGAGCAATTTATCCAGCTTGTGAACATAGGCAAGGCCTTCCCCTGTACCTCACTCTAGGACTGTAATCAGAGCCTCTTACCGTCTGAGTACAACAGTGGAGTCCAGACTGGCTCTTCAGTCTTAAGTTTCCAAGCTTGAATTTCCCTACTTATAAAATGAGAACATTAATAGTTTATACTCCATAGGGTTCTTCTCAGGATTAAATGAGGTAATGTGAGTAAGGTCAGCTGTGATTATTGTTCTGGTTACTACCGTCATGTTTGGTGTACATGCATTTGAAGATTCCCAAATAGGCTACTGTAAAGGGAAATCCATTCCATCCCTTGTTCTATGCAGTGGTTTTTTAAAGCTATATCATCTAAAAGTTCAAGTTTTGTTAAAAAGGCATAGGAATAAATCAAGGTAAAAGTGTGGTTTTAGCATTTTGAAACCTTCTTTGAACTTAGCATTCTGAAACCTTCTTTGACTCGTGGATTTTGTTTGTTTATTCCAGCCAGCACCTAACCAAGTCACTTTTCATCTTCCCCTTCATCGTTACTATGCTATGTTTTTGAGTAAGGTAAGATTATCGTCCAGCAATTTTTTTTTTTAAATATTGGAAATTAAGTATTGAATTAGTAACTTCTTTTTCATAATTTTTAGGCTGTGAAATGTCAAGAACTAGATTTGGATTCTGTTTTACCTGATCAGGAAATGTTAATGAAACTAATGATTCACCCACTCCAAATTCAAGTATGTATTCAGGCTTTTATTTTATTTTATTTTATTTTATTTATTTATTTATTTATTTTTTTAAAAGATTTTTTTTTTTTTTTTTTATTTATTCATTTGACAGAGATCACAAGTAGGCAGAGAGGCAGGCAGAGAGAGAGGAGG